CGTCCGCTGGCCCCGCCGCGCGCCTCCATCAGCGCGCTGTGCGCCCGCTGCACATCACACAGACTCTCACTCACCGCTCTCCGCTCACCGCGCATCCTCGAACCATTGTACAATTCACTGCGTTTGAACTGCGCCACGAGGCGATGGTGACCGCCCTGCTTGCATTACTTTTAAATGGAAAGCTGTGATCTGTGATCACACTTTACCACATTCAATATTAAAAGTGAGATCATATGAAAGCCAATGTCCGCAGGGGCGTCCAGCGTGCGGCATGCGCAGAAGACAGGAGTCGAACGGAAATAATACTGCATTTCGCTCGACGAGTGCGCGAGCCGGGGCCGAACTTAAGTCCACCCGATGCTCTCTTTGTGTACGTCCCCTGTTCGTGTAAATCATTTTTGAGGTATGTGTATCGGTGAGATAAGAAAGCGAGGGAATGCGGCGACCTGTACGTCGGCGACGAGGTCCTCCTGACGCCGCAGCGTGTCGGCGACGCGGCGCTGCAGCGGGGCCAGCGCGGCGCCGAGCGCGGCGGCGGAGCGCGCCGGCTCGTCCAGCGCGCCGTCTTCCGCCAGCGCCGCCAGGAACTCCTCGCGCAGCTCCACGCGCACCTCCTTCAGCGCCGCCTCCATGCCGTCGCGCTCCGCCTTCAGCGCCTCCACCTGCCGGCACCCCATCCGGTCGCGACAACAAATCAACTCGACCGATCGAATCCGAGTCCACGAGTGCGGCCACTCACCGTCTCCATGAGAGCTCGCAGCCGACGCAGGTGGTCCGCGTCGCTGGCGGGACCGGCGCGCGCCTCCGCCGCTTCGGGCGCCTCGGGCACGCCGGCCCGCAGCTCGCCCTCGCTGCCGCTCAGCAGCGCGATGCTCTGTTCGTAGTGTCCAGTGTGAGACTCGGATATGACCTAGGTGACGTTTAGGTGTAGGTGTCGAGCGAACGTTACCTCCTTATGCTGCAGGAACTTCTGCTGCACGATGGCGTCGGCGCGCACCGCGTTGTCGATGATCTGCGCGTACTTGGCGGCGTTGGCGCGGAACGCCTCCGTGAGCGCCCCCGACTCGCTGCGCGTCCAGCGCGCCCCGAACTGCGCGCGCAGCGCCTCGTCCGCCTCGCGCTCCTCGCGCAGCATGCGCTCCGCCTGCAACAAGCGCACGCGCACCGTCACTGCCGCCCGCCCCGCCCTCGGCCCCGCGCCCCGCCCTCCTCACCTCGTCGAGGATGTCCTTGTTGCGCTGCAGCAGGTCCGGCAGCTCGGCCATGAGCGCCTGCAGCGCGGGCAGGCCGCCCGCCGCACGCACCGCCGCCGCCTTCTCGCGGATGGAGTCGGGCAGCGCGCCGGCAGCGCCCGCGCCCTCCAGACACGCCGGCAGGTTCAGCGACGCCAGGATGCTGAGCGACAACAGCACGCGTACATAAGTTTAAACTTTTAACGCGTGCTATGTGATGCGATGTGATGCGATGTGATGCGACACCTGTTGAGCAGCTGCGTGGCCTCGCGCAGTTTGCTGATCTCAGCGTTGACGAGGTCCGCGCGCCGCGCCCCGCTCGCCTGCAGCGCCTGGTGCACCGCCAGCGGCACCAGCCGCGCGAACAGATCTGAGTCACACCGTTATTAAATACTACAATAATGTATTTTTAAATAATTTTGTGGTTGTCATAAAAACTTTTTCGTCCCCGCGAGGCGCGTGCGAGGCGCGTGCGAGACGCGTGCGAGGCGCGTGCGAGGCGCGTGCGAGGCGCGTGCGAGACGCGTGCGAGGCGCGTGCGAGGCGCGTGCGAGGCGGGGCGTACCTTTGAAAGGTTGCGAGAAGTGTTCGGGCGGCGGCAGAGGCTTGGCGATGGGCGCGCGCGGCACCGCCTCCAGGCTGCGCGGCTCGGGCACGCGCTCGTGGTAGATGAAGTCGTTGTCGCGGCGCGCGGCCGCCAGCTGGCGCGCGGCTCGCACGCCCGCCTCGCGCACCACGTCCGCCCCCGCCCCAGCCCCCGCGCCCTGCAGCAGCTCCGCCGCGATCTGCAGGCGCGCGATCTCCTCGCCCACGGCCTGGCGCTCGCGACACACGGCGCTCTGGTAGAACTGGCTGAGGCCGCGGAAGATGGCCTGCTTCGCCTGCACCTGAGACACGCGCCCGCTCCCCTCGCTACACATCTCGCTGCACACATTACTAATCTTATCTAAATACTAAGATTGTTTGTTCGGCTCACGTGCGGGATCCAGTCGCGGTCCCAGAGCGCGCGCAGGTGGTCGCGCTGCAACGCGCGCTGCGCCTCCGCGTACAGCTCCTCGCACTGCGCGCACACCTTGCTCACCATGCCCTCCTTCATCTCGTCTGCGGACAAGGGTCACACTTGCATGTCTCGTCCAGAAGCAGCGTGAGATGTACAGGGTGGGGGAGGTGGGGGCGCACCTCTGATGCACTTGTAGGCGATGACCTCCTGCGCCTGCGCCAGCATGAGCTGCGCCAGCGCGTGCAGCGCGTCAGGGCTGAGGTCGGGCGTGGGCTCCTGGTGCACCGCCGTTAGCACATTGCCCTTCAGGTAGCTAAAGATGCCGGCCGCTTGCTGCAACACAATTTATCTAAGCCTCATATAATGTGTATATTCAATTTGCCACCTGTATAGTATTTACCAATTATCCATTAGTTGTTTTAAGCAATTAGGACATTTTGTTTGATTGTTTCGACCGACCGTATACCGACATTTTCCACCTGCCAGATCAATGTAATCATGGATATGCGAACAGATGGGTGAGCAATAGCACAGGAGATTGTCACATACTGAACAGTTTATGATGAAAGAAAAGAGAGTCCTTTCTAGGGGTACATATATGAAATGACTACAAACCTGCAACAGTTTAGCGGCAAGCTTTAGAGAGTCCTCGGTGTCGAGTGGCTGCTGCGCGGCCAGGCTGCTCTGCAGCGCCGCCACGTTGAACAGCACACACACGCGCTCGTACGCCAGCGAGGCCACCGCTGCAGACGGGCACAATGCACAAATCTACAAACCCCTCACTCGCCCCGCCCACCCCGCCCACCCCGCACAGCACACAACCAGTTCAAAATGAAATCATTGTTACATATTAAAAATACTGTTCAATTATTTTATCACTCTAATTCTTTGCCTTTAAAAATAAAAATTAATATCAAGCATGATATCTTTTTTTCCTAATTAAAATTGGGATCTGTATATTTGCTAACAAAATTTTAAAAAACAAACATCACTGACTTAGGCTCATGCGACCTCCAAAAATGGAACCTTTGTCAAAGGCGTCTTTCCACTTGAAGGGTATCTGCAGCTCTTGAGGCGGCACCTTGGTGGCCAGCGATGTCAGCTGGTCATAGTAGCTGCCCACAAACATAACACATTAGCACACATCTTGAAACGTTACAAACGTTACAGTGAAGCTGCCGTAGCCGTTATGGATTGGGGAAATAGTAATACATTACATTTATGTCCATTTTGTCATATTTTTTGTTATAGAGAAATATAATATTGACAGATATAGAGAAAATTTAACTAAGCCTTACATATAAGCTTATTGAACATCTACAATGTGCAAACTGAATTTTTAACAAAGAAAATTTGTGAATGGTATGGACAAAACCAAAACTTCTCTTAAGTAGCTCTTGCAGTATTGCAACCATAAACATCATTCATAATTTCTACCTAGTAACTCACAATTGAAAGGACCAAATAAAGCTAAAGATTTAGATGAAATTTTTAGTGTGAACTGATCAACTTTATAAGGAGAAGAAATCTACAATTATATGAGCGATACTTTACGAGATATCGATCACTACGGCCACCTACCTAAAATAATGGATGTCTTTTTCCCCAACTTAATATTTCATTCGTCTTATTTATATATTTATTATTATCACATCAAAAAGAATACATGACTATGTTTTTTCTAGATTAATTCAATGATCTAATAAATAGCATGACTCATGTGACGCTCGTATACCTGTAAATAACTTCCAGAGAGGATTTCTCGAAAACCTTCCAAATTGCGTTAGCTCTGAGGCGCGCCAGCTCTTCTATTGCATCGCTGTAGTCTTCGTTATTGTCTCCTGTATTGTACGTGGATTGGATTAAATTCTTCAATGGTTTTACAATATCGACGTCAGAAGACTTTTTTAACGGAACAGCAAGCAAGTCAGCCATTTCTGTGACATTGACTGACTTTACTTTGTTTGTTAAATATTTGTTGTATAGGAAATTGTCAAATTGTGATGATTGTACCAAGATTGTACTTTGTCAAATGACGCATGACAGCTGACAGTATCAGCAAAGGTGTCAGTGTCATTTTAAATACTCTTTGGATGGCAGACTACGATTTTTTTTGGTCTGGTTACGAGGCCTTTAAGCCAGATGCAAAGAAAGGGCCGTGCAAGAGCGACACGCTTCTTGGTAAGGACAAAAGATGTATCATCATTTGAAGGACTTTAATACCTCAATTTCACGAAAGTAAAATCATATTGTAAATCAACTAAAGCACTTCAGAATTCGATTCTGATGAACTGATCGTATCCATTGTTTTTTACAAAACGCTCAAAAAATTAACCTAACGTGAGTTTCTGCTTTATATTGTAGGTACTACAAAAACAAATACCATTTTGATTTGACCAATTTTCTGAATATTTGTTTGCATCACAGACTGATAATACAATACTATACTAGTGTGCATGTACATAATATGTTCCACCTTATATTTGAATATGTCTTCGGCTCGTTTTTATTTATTAATTTGTCGAGAAATCCGCGGATTTAATTATTTTGTGCTGTGAAATTATTGAAGACTTAGACAGCTCAATAGGACAAAGCCACCATTTTTGAAATCTTCTTCTTAAGCTTATTTGAAATGCAAAATTTTCACAGTTCTCGCTGTACGCCTTGATGATACAACTGTACTCAATAGCATGTGATCCAAATGTAGGCAGTATATTATATTATCTGACTTGAGGCCAATGAATGCAATTAGAGTTAGGCGTGCGCAGGTGCGCTGCGCGCAGTGCGCTGCCGGGGCAGCGCGGCGCCCGGCACCGGCACTATTCTGCCCTCCGCCTCAACTCGCCTTGCAAACGCAATGTATTAATGTATTTCTCGATCGAGGCTAGTCAACTTGTAAAACGAAATATGCAATCATCGATCCAGAGTGCAAATCTAACAAGTTAAAAACGGAATAAGATTCAATTGTGTGGTCGTATAGAATTGTGTCGAGTCGCAAAAATAACTGTTGCGCGGGCAATCGATACGACGAGGTGTACGTTTGTTTTGTTGTTCGTGGCCGCCGCACGCCGCCGCCGCCACCTCCGTGCGCCTTCGTACACGCGCTGCTGGTATGGAAATATGGAATGGTAAGGTTAGTCATATACTCTGATAAACATTACTAGCAACATTTTGAATAAAAGTACTCTATAACAAAAATAAATAGGACCACGTTTGTTCACCTCATATTTTGAGCGTTGGAAACTGACCTGTCTTTGTTGATATGTCAAAAAGAAAGGCAAAGAATCCCTCAGAAAGTTTAGTTTCAAGTTTGTGTATTGCGCCAGTCAAGTTTGCAAGCGGAAACGGAGAAAGGCGCGCACGGTTCTGGAGATCGCCCACACCTCGCGCTCCTCTGGGTGTCGCGCGTTACATTTATTATCCACTTGATGTGCCACTCCGACTAGCGAACGTTGGCAGTATACCCATAAAAATAATGTGCCGAAAATTTAAAAAGAGTTTAAAAGAAGTGTAGTCTAACATAATGGAAACAGTTTGAATAGGAAATGAAAATCTTCAAATAGAAATTGTTTTATACACCGTTTGAGATACACTGATATTTATTTAAGTGACGACGTGAAACTATTCATATAATACTATCCAATATATGTATGAATGAAAACCGTAAGCCATTTCTAGATCCGCGCCAACAAACATATCAAGCTCTAAGTTTTTCGCAGGTTTTCAATGAAGAGTCTGTGTTATACTTTTGATATATTATACATATTTTTTTACTTCTGTACTGATTGATATTCTTTTATTTATGAGATGGAAAACTCACAGCTATATTAGAGAAGAAGCTCTATATAGAGCAAGAAGTCTAACCTAGATGACTGAAAGCCACTAACGTTGCTGAAATTATTTTAACCATTCGCTAGTGCTTTCGGTTCGATGGCCTTCGTCGCAGGCAAGTAGGAATCGCGGACGAAGAGAGGTGTTGATATTGCAGCGCAGCGGGGTTTTACCGTTGTTGCGACGTGGTGGAGCTGTATAAGAGTAATTCACCCCGTGCAGTCCTTTTCGTCGGCGACATGGTGGGGCAACGGATTTATCCTGCCCATCTGCGGCTGTCGGGTTTGACGGGGAGACCTGACAGCGGATCTGCGCACGGGGTCTCCCGGGATCTCCCGCTTTTCTGGCATCTATGGCACTGAGGTGACGGGCTCGGTGGATCTGTCACCCTTGTCTATGGATGTATATATTTATACATATGTTAGGAACCTCTACCCTCTAGACGTTTGTCACTCGCCTCAAATCTTTATTTCGTTTTCCGTAATCACTTAATATGGGGTGGACTGTTGCAGATGTCGAGCGAGCCCCGCGTGCCCGGCTACATGACGCGGCCACCGGCCTCAATGCAGTTGCTGCGGGGTCGGGCGAGGCGGGCGGCGCAGGAGAGTGCGCAGCGGTAGGCGGCGCGGCGTGCGGCGGGCGGCGCGCGGCTCTGCCCACAGACTGCGACGCGCCAGGGGAGCTGCTCGCAGAAGTGAGCTCGCCAAACACATTATGACAAATTCCCATTTTTTGACATTATTTGTGAAGCGTGCGTGGTTACAAAATTGAACACAACTTTTTTGGGCAATGTACGCGACCGTCACACCTGTGTACCTTTCCCAAGATTCAATATACAAGTATACGTTTGAAGTCGGTGTGCGTAGCGCGCGGTACAGCGAGTTCGGGCGTGTGTTGCAGTTCCTGTCGGCCATCCTGCGACGGCAGTACGCGGAGGCGCTTCGTTGCTGCCGACTCATCTTGCAGTACGAGCCGCACAACGCCACGGCGCGCGGATTCTGCCCATTGCTGCGACTTCGGCTGCGCGCCGCCGGTACTACTCGCTTGCCGCCACTCACACTCCCCTTGCTATAATGGAAAAACACTGCCTAATCATTTTTCTGACAATGTGTATTTATAGTGTCATTTAACGTTTAACACATCTCCGGTGTAGCATCGGGCGAGCCGGCCCATGCATGCACTAGATGTAAATTAGCGATAGACTGAATTACACTATTCTTCTATATATATTATATCATAGGACTTGGTGTGCGACTGCGAGAACTCGCAGTCAATATGAACGTATTAGGTCAGTCCAGTTCACAAAGAAGCGAGAACAACTATTAAATTTATTCTAAACAAACGATTTTATAGTCCATTAGCAAACATCTCAATGTTGTCAAAAATGTGCCAATCAATGTAAGTTTAACTAATTGTTCAGTTCATCGTTTTTAGCTTCATTTGCTGATCGTTTTAGTTTGGATACGTTTTGTTACTAAAGTTTTTGTACAGAAGCTGCGGCGGGTCCGGGTGAGGCGGAGGAGAGTGCGGGGGCCGACACGGGGGACGCGGGGAGCGCTGGCCGCCGACCACCCTCACCGGCCACGCGTGCCATGGTACGCCTGCAGCTCAACCGTTCCTTCCTTCCTTACGTTACATCCGCACTCCTTACATCGTACACTGCACGCCCAGCAGCTAGCAGCTAGCAGCTAGCAACTAGCAGGCAGCTGCGAATAGCAACACGCCGTCGCGCACACACATCGCTGTTTCAGCGGCCGCGTCCTTGTTACGTGATCGCGATGAAGTGAGACGTTTTTGTAAAATTTTCAATTTTATCTCGCTCAAAGATGACGTTGACCGTGCAATGGCCGAAATCAAGTGGAACTCAAGATTGGATCAGAACACCGAACTCGACATAATTGCGTAATAAAACTAGTTCATTGCTTCTAAACGACGTAAACATTTTGTGGCGAAAAATATTAAAATTGGTTCAGTAGGTGGTAGGAGGGAGTTAGGAGGGAGGAGGGAGGTAGGTAGGAGTAGTTGCAGCGGGAGTTGGCGCGGCACACCCCCGATGTCTAGCATTCAAGAACTAACGCTGGTTAACAACTACCGCTGATATTGAGTGTGTGTCTTCTTGTAACCGATTTTAACTGAGCTGTGCAATACGTGAGCATACATTGCATACGTTCTGTATACTGTTAGCTGATTGTGTAATCTTCTCAGGTAACGCACATGCTCTGCTTAGTCATGGTCGTCGGTACAAATAGTGCGCTTGCAGCTGACCACCAGGCGCTATAGTTTGATAATAATCCTGTAATCCCACCACCTCCCAGAAGAAAATTATATTTCACCCGACTCATGCAATAACCGTGAGGTGTGTGCAGGAGCGGGAGGAGCAGGGCGGGGAGGCGGCGGAGCGAGGGGAGTCAAGCTCGGGCTCGCGGTCGGGCTCGCGCGCCGGCTCCGCGGACTGGGCCGGCTCGCAGTCCTCTCTTGAGCTGGACTCCTCCCCGCCCAGCCGCTCCCCCAGCCGCTCCCTCAGCCGCTCCCCCAGTCGCCGCGTCGACCTCACCGATAGTACGTGCGCGCAATGCGCATTTATGACAGAAACGAAACATATAATATTACTATTATAGCTTTTGGCCGTTGACTTCGTAGGCGCGGTTAATAGAAACTTAGAAAGTAGCCTATGCGTTCTTCAGGACTATGTTCTACATCTGTGTCAAATTTATTCGCGATCTAACGGATCAGTCGTTTTGGACTTTTGGAGATACGTAATAACAAACATCCATCCATCCATGCAAACTTTGGCAATCACTAGTGCTCGCCCGGGACTTCGTCAACGCAGAATGTAAAGAAGGAAGGAAGGAAAAGCCATCTCCAAAACTAAACCTCAAAAATAATTCTAAATAATTGTGCTGTGACACGTAAAGACCAATAGGAACAGCGAAGCCAGAGTCAGCGAGTGAGCCGGTGCGTTGTGGTGTTGGGACCGTGTCCGTGTGGCAATGCTCAGGTGCGTCCGGCGCGTGGGGAGTGTCGGCCGCGAGCGGGGAGTCGGTCGGGAGCGGGGAGTCGGGTGCGTGGAGCGGCCAGGAGGCGTCCACCGCGTCCGGCCTGTCCGCGTCGGAGGGCTCGGCCGCGCGCGCCGACAGCCCGGCCACCGAGCCCGACACTGACGACAACGGCAACCCTCCCGCCGCACACACTCCGCTCGCCCCACACACTGCCCAAGGTTGTATCGCATCATTCATCTTTTTGTTTTTAATTCGGCCTTTCCATAAAAGTGACAGATGAGAAAATATAGTGTACATATACATAATAATATGTCGTATGCTCACCAGAGACAGAAGACGTGCAGAACGAGAACGCGGGCGCAATGCCGCACTTCAAGGTGACAATAGTCAATATTTACAACGTACCTATCTTACAGCAGTTTATACATGTTGTGTGTCGACTGTAAATGATAACGAATATTTCAGAACATGTTCTACCAAAAGCTGGGGCTGGGCCGTTAAGGTCGGTCGGGAGACACGGGAGACGGGAGGACACAGAAGCGCTCACTCAGGAAACACTCAGGACGTGGACCGAAATTTATGTAAAATGAATGTAATAATAATAATATGTATTACAAAATATCATTCGATAATGTGAAGCCTAATATATTAGTTATTATTTTTTAAAGACTTTAATAATTAGATTGGGATAAAAGCTTTTTCGCTTTTTGTATGACAATTGAAAACATATATTATAGTTTATTTACATTTACCTAAAGTATGTATGTAGTAGGTAGATGTCATTTTGTTCGATAAAATCACAAATTATGAGCTTCTTCAAATATGGTTCGGTTTGATTACATCGTAATAAAGAATCACAAGTCACAGTTCATTAGGTTTCTTTCAGTGAGCACGTGACTTGGATTGAATTTGGAATCATTTTGATGACAATATAACCAGCCAGATAGTACACATCCAAAGCGATTTTATTATTCATCGTACTACCTATTATACATGCGAAAAACCTTTAAACCAAATGGTACTCTCAAAACGATGTATGTATGTACCTATAAATACCGTTGGTGGAGTCTCCGTTGACTAACTGACGTCACTCGTGACAGATAGCGATACTGACGATATTTCCTCGTAACTAGTAATGTAACGCGCTATAGCTTGCTAGTTATATTTTAATATCTTTGTTCTAATTACACTTTACATTATAAGTATGGTGTAGTTAGCAGAGAGAGAAATAGAATCGATGAAAGCCGATGTGGAGCTTACATTATTTAGCAAGAAAATAGTTGTAGTTAATTCTGAAACAGAATCACTTGCTTCGCCAGAACTGATCTCACCGAAAACTTTACAGATCGCGGATTCGGTTCGTTCCGTTAAAACATGTAATATTTTTTTTGGGATTAAGAACCAGCAAACTGATAAAAAAAATATTTTGCACCGAACTTTATATAGATATAGATAAAAATTTGAGTATTTACATTTAATCTGTGTGAATAATGAATTTAAATTGTTACTAAATAAAGTTATCTGAATTTGTTTTTTATTGTATGGACATCAACACTTTGTTAAAAAAATAATGTAAAAATTGTTTTATAAAAGCATAAAAAATAAATATTTATTACGAGAGCTTCTTCATTTTAATGATATTTGTTCTAAAAGGTAAATGTGCGATGAAGTGCTGACCGAGCGCAGACGAGCCGACACAATACCTGCTGTATTTTCTGCCATTTGTACGAAGTCTTTTCAAAGACATACTTAATATATACACATTATTTTGTTACTTTTCAGTCCTTCACTACTTTGTATTGTAGACTGGCTTTGTTGTTGTATTTGAGCACAGAGCGAGAGGGTGCGGTGCGCTCTGTGCTGCGCCATGCGCGATTCATCGAGGTTGAGGATTAAATAAATTAAAGCCAAAAAACTCTCTTAAACTTTATTAAAACGAACAAACATTTTATTAATAGTTAAATTGCTGAATACTTAACACAAATGTATACCTAGGAGAGGATCCATTTTTGTTAACAAACATCACAATCCTGTGCCTCCGCACCCCCTGTGGTACCCGCACCCCTGTGCTACACCAGCCGTCACAGCGCTGGCCTGTGATAATTAAATGAAAAGGGTCAATTTGTCGAGGCCCACTTTCCATTTGTTACGTATATAAAAGTCTAGTGCAGAGGTGCGGAGGTGCAGAGGTGCGGAGGTGCAGAGATGCGCGAGCGCGTGCTCTGCGCGGGATATAACTCATAACATTACTAGCGGCTCACAATATTTATGAAATATTATATACCTCGGCCCGACATGACCAGGTCGAGGCATACCGATGAAATTGGCGTATTTTACTCGGAATAGTTAAAAAATGAACATTAGTTTGTTGAAACATAGAAATTAAATTGTCTTATTATAAAAATAATCAACTCAAAAACTCGATACACATGCACAAGTCAAGAAACAATCACAAGTGCGGCAAGTAGCGCCCGCCATCTCACCCGCGATGCGATACACGCGAGAGTGCCGACATGCAGCTGCAGCCCTCCCTCCACAACACAATACACTACACACATATCAGACTGCCTTGTCTGCCTGACAACTTCTCTTACCAACAATACATATTATATATAGACAAAGACTAGGCCCTTATATTCACACACAGAATTCCTCTGTATTTGAACCGTATAAATGGTCCCTAACTTTGTACAGTTCAAAAAGAGTTTATTACATCGAGCGGACACAGCCCCCCCCCCGCCCCTCGCCCCCATCATTACCACCTTAATAACT